GAACCTTCTTTAGTAATGCTGGCTCAGGCAGTGCTTCCCTCACCTTAGAGGGTTTTATTTGAGCTTGCCTCTCCCGTTTGGCTCAGTACTTCGGGGTATCTGTGAACAGATGCTTGGAAAACTCTTAAATCCATACTATGGTAAGTGCACACGTTAAGCTTTGCGCACTTTCTAAAATCCACATAGTGGTAAGTGCACACGTTAAGATTTGCGCACTTTCTAAAATCCACATAGTGGTAAGTGTGCACCTTGTGCTTTGCGCACTTTTTAAAATCCTGTATGGTAAGGATTATGCGTTATTAGCCTCGTTCCCTTTCTCTGAGGTGGTTTAGACCCCGGTACCTTGGGCTCCACTCAACTAGTGTGTCTTTGTCGACACATTCTGGAAGCATCGCTCCCCTCACCATTGAGGGTAATTGTGAGCATGGTGCTTTCTTTTGAGCGTTTAATTCTCTCTGAGGAGTTGGATTCCTCGCTCCATGGGCTGTTCTTGTGGTAGTGTTGAGCAGTGCTCCCCTTTTATCGAAGGGTTACCTGGAATGAGCACACTACTCTTCTGAATTCGGAGTTCTCCTCTCACATGAGAAGTTGAGTTCTCTGTTTTTCCAGAGCACCTGGAACCAGCACCCCTAGAAGACGCAGTGTCTCGTTCCCTACTCAGGGAACCATGGTTACATACGTAACCTGAGACGTTTTCCTTTATTCCATGTTATATTGGTTTTATATATGCCAATAATATAATGACCAGTCGATACATTAATATTAATCTAACTTTTATCCACTGGAAAATTTTGGGAAAGACATATTTTGTCAGTTGAACACTCAAAAAACAACGTAACTCTAAATGGACACATTTCTATGTCTCACAGCTGCGATTGCCAAAAAATTATTTCTCTGTATTTTTGGCTGAACTGCGATAGCCTATACGGTATATATCTAGGTATTTTTTATGCTTTCTATTTAGATTTTAAAAAGTTAAATACTTGAAAAAAGCCCGCACACTCTCAAAAAGCAAAAAGTCACAAGCGAGATGAAAGCAGTGTAAGCAATTTTCTGAAGAAAAAAACAAACAGCATTTTACTTGTTTTACTTGCTTTGCTTGTTACTTTGCTTTTTTTCAAGTATTTTACGTTTTGGGAAACTTTTTTTGGTCTATGCACCTCAGTTGGATTGTTTAGAAGATGTGATGTGTCTCCGGCTGTTTTTCTATTTATATTTTTAAAAATCTGTATTTATTAAAAAACAACAACAAAAAAAAAACATTCACATCCTGCCCAATGTTGTATAATACAATTACAAATAAACAAATACAATTGAAAATAAATAAGCAATCTAAAAACAAAAAATAATGCTTTTTAAAACAGAAGTTAAATTCACTCAAAATTTAAATAAATTAAAACAACATTTTGATTATCCCCATTACAGTCACATTATACCTAGTGCTATCATAAAAATACACACTTACTTGTGGGTTTAATCTTCAACATATGACACATTTATTGTCCAAAAACAAATATTTCAGCTAAATGTATATTTTAGTCAGAATTATTGCTTGCATGTGTGCGGTTGCACTTGTTCACTTAAGTCTGTGAAGTTTAGCGGAGAAGCTTGTGCAGAAGGCTCATGCACTTCTGACAGCAAAATT